AAATCAACAAGATAGACAAACCTTTGTCCAAACTTACCAAACAGCAGAGAGTGAACATGTAAATTAACAAAATCAGAAATGAAAAGGGGGACATAACAACAGACTCTGAGGAAATCCAGAGAATCATTTGGTCATACTTTGAAAACCTGTACTCCACAAAATTTGAAAATTTAAAGGAAATGGATGACTTCCTGGATAGCTATCACTTGCCAAAACTAAATCAAGAACAGATAAGCAATTTAAATAGACCTATAACCCCTATGGAAATAGAAGCAGTCATCAAAAGTCTCCCAACCAAAAAAAGTCCAGGTCCAGATGGCCTCAGTGCAGAATTCTACCAGAAATTCAAAGAACAGCTTATACCAATTCTTCTCAAAGTGTTCCACACAATAGAAGCAGAAGGGTCTTTGCCAAACTTTCTATGAGGCTTCAATAACCTTGATCCCCAAGCCACACAATGATACAAGTAAGAAAGAGAACTTCAGACCAATATCCCTCATGAACATTGGTGCAAAAATACTCAATAACATACTGGCAAATCGGATCCAAGAACACATCAAAACAATCATTCACCACGATCAAGTAGGTTTCATCCCAGAGATGCAGGGATGGTTCAACATGTGAAAATCCATCAACGTATTCCACCATATAAACAAGCTGAAAAACAAAAATCACATGATCATCTCACTAGATGCTGAAAATGCCTTTGACAAAATCCAACACCCCTTCATGATAAAGGTCTTGGAGAGATCTGGGATAACAGGGACATACTTAAACATAATAAAAGCTATATACAGTAAACCAACAGCCAACATCAAACTAAATGGACAGAAACTCAATGCAATTCCTCTAAAATCAGGAACAAAACAAGGCTGTCCACTCTCTCCATACCTTTTCAACATGGTACTTGATGTTCTAGCTATTGCCATACAACAACAAAGGGGATCAAGGGGATATAAATTGGGAAGGAAGAGGTCAAACTTTCACTGCTTGCAGACGATATGATAGTTTACATCAATGACCCAAAGAACTCTACCAGGGAACTCTTACAGTTGATTAACACCTTCAGCAAAGTGGCAGGCTACAAGGTGAACTCAAGAAAATCAGTAGCCCTACTATATACAGATGATAAAAGGGCTGAAAAAGAAATCAGAGAAACATCACCCTTTACAATTGCCACAAACAACATAAAATACCTTGGGGTAATGCTAACCAAACAAGGGAAAGACCTGTATTGTAAGAACTTTGAATCTTTAAAGAAAGAAATTAAAGAAGCCCTCAGAAAATGGAAAGATCTCCCATGCTCTTGGATAGGTAGGATCAATGTAGTAAATATGGCAATCCTGCCAAAAGCAATCTACAGATTCAATGCAATCCCCATTAAAATCCCAGCACAATTCTTCACAGACCTTGAAAGAACAATAATCAATTTTGTATGGAACAACAAAAGACCCAGGATAGCCAAAACAACCCTGTTGAACAAGGCAACGTCCGGAGGCATCACCATCCCTGAACTCAAGCTCTATTATAGAGCTATAGTCCTGAAAACAGCTTGGTATTGGCACAAAAATAGACAGGTAGACTAAAGGAATCGAATTGAAAACCCGGGTATTAACCCACACATGTACGAACATCTTATCTTTGACAAAGAAGCTGAAAATATACAATGGAATAAAGAAAGCATCTTCAACAAATGGTGCTGGCATAACTTGAGACTGGCATGTAGAAGAATGCGGATCGATCCATGTTTATCGCCATGCACAAAACTTAAGTCCAAATGGATCAAAGACCTCAACATAAATCCAGCCACACTGACCCTCTTAGAAGAGAAAGTGGGTGGTACCCTTGAACGAATTGGTACAGGAGACAGCTTCCTGAACATAACACCAGTAGCACAGACAGTGAGATCAACAATTAATAAATGGGACCTACTGAAACTGAGAAGCTTCTGTAAGGCAAAAGACACAGTCAACAAGACAAAAAGGCAGCCCACAGAATAGGAAAAAATATTCACTAATCCCACATCTGACAGAGGGTTGATCTCCAAAATTTACAAAGAACTCAAGAAGCAAGTCTCCAAAACATCAAAGGACCCAATTAAAAATTGGGCTGCAGAACTAAATAGAGAGTTTTCAATAGAGGAGTCTAAAATGGCTGAGAGGCACTTGAGAAAGTGCTCAACATCCTTAGCCATCCGGGAAATGCAAATCAAAACAACTCTGAGATATCATCTCACTCCTGTCAGAATGGCTAAAATCAAAAACACCAATGACAATTTATGCTGGAGAGGATGTGGTGAAAGGGGGACACTCCTCCATTGCTGGTGGGAGTGCCAACTGGTTCAGCCACTTTGGAAATCAGTATGGAGATTCCTCAGAAAAATGGGAATAAACCTACCAGAAGACCCAGCAACTCCACTCTTAGGCATATATCCAAAAGATGACCATTCATACAACAAAGATGTCTGTTCCACTATGTTCATAGCAGCTTTATTTGTAATAGTCAGAACTTGGAAGCAACCTAGATTTCCCTCAACCGAAGAGTGGATAGAGAAAATGTGGTTCATTTACACAATGGAGTACTATTCAGCAGAAAAAAAACAATGTAATCCTGAGATTCACAGGCAAAGGGATGACACTAGAAGAAACCTTCCTGAGTGAGGTAACCCTGTCACAAAAAGAGAAACATGGCATGTACTCTCTCATATATGGATTTTAGACATAGATCTGGGGAGTGCCATCCTACAATCCTATGGCCAGAGAGTCTGGGAAACAGAAACTTCATTTAGTGGCTGATGGAAGAAGAGGCAGACTCCCTAGGTTAAGTACTGAGCTGAACTCAACAAAGCCAGTAACAGAGAGGGAGGACTGATGATCAAAGTGATTAAGACTGGGCTGGTTTAACCCCCAGAAACAGCTGACCAGACAAAGGTTAATTCTTGAATCCTAGGCATCAGCCTGGGAATCCAGCATGGGACTGATCAAGACCCCCTGAATCTGGGTGTCAGTGAGGAGGCCTAGGTAATCTATTGAGCCTTGGGCAGCAGATCAGTACCCATCCCAAGTATATACAGGGACTTTGGACTCCCACAGAACAATGTGAGTTGCACTCTCACCCTGAACTCTTGGGGAAGGGTCTAGGCCCTGCCCTATATGAAATGACAGAACATGGACACCCCTATGGAGGGCCTCACCCTCCCTGGGGGAATGAGGGGATAAGGGCGGGCTGGGGGGAGGGCACGGGAGGAGGAGAGGGAAAGGGAGAGGGACCTGGAACTGACTTGTGAAGCAACCTTGTTTCTTATCTAAATTTAAACTGGAAAATAAAATAAAAAATAAAAAAGGGACAAAAGAAGTAAGCTGGTTTCTAGGACCCTAATTGGAGCCTTCTAAATCCTGGGCACTAGGCACTTCAGAACACTTCCTGGTAGACAAGCCCATCCAGAGTCTGACAGCATTGTGGTGGTGATCGTACCTCTGCCCACAGAAGGAGGTAAGTGTGAACCTGTTTCCTGCCCTCTTTGCAGTTCCCACCTGAGGCCTGGGACTGCACATGGGGAAACCCATCTCAGCAGAACAGCCCATCCAGAATCTGCGGAAGTCAAGGTGCTAGTGGTGCATCCCCCAAAGGAAGAGAGCTATCAGAGTATTGGACCTGCTTACACCCACTGGAAGAGAAACTTAGACCTGTACCCACCATGAGAGTGAGAGACAACACCCCACTTGCCAGTATAAGAACACAGTCAACAACAGAAAATCAATATGATGCCACCAGAGTTTAGGGACTCCACATCAATAAGAACTGAACATCCCAGCTCAGATGAAGCAGAAGAGAACAACCGTAAATCAAATTTGTGATGATGATAGAGACCCTCAATGAGGTATTCAGAATATCCCTTAAAGAAATGGAAGAAAAAACAAACAAAAATTCAAGAAATGGAAGAAAATGCAAACCAAAAATTGCAATAAATAAAAAATATATTTAAAAAAACAAGGAAAGCCAAGAAATGAAAAGGGGGACATAACAACAGACACTGAGGAAATCTGGAGAATTTTCAGATCATACTTTGAAAACCTGTACTCCACAAAATAAAAAAATTTAAAGGAAATGAACATTTTTCAGGACAGATAGCACTTATTAAAATTAATTCAAGAACAGATAAGCAATTTAAATAGAACCATAACGACTAATGAATTAGTAGAATTCATCAAAATTCTCCCAACTAAGTAAAGCACAGGATAAGAAGGTTTCAGAGTAGAATTCTATCAGAAATTTAAAGAAAAGCTAATACCAATAATCCTCAAACTGTTCCACAGAACAGAAGCAAAAAACTCATTGCCAAACTATTTTTATCAGGCTACAATTACCTTGGTGCTCAAGTCACTCAAAGACACAACTAAGAGCAGATGAATATCACTCTTGAACACTGATGCAAAAGTAGTCAACAAAATACTGGCAAATCAATCCAAGAGCACATCAGAAAAATCACCCACCATTATTAAAAAGGTTTCAACACAGGAATATAGGAATAGTTCACCGTGAGATAATCTATCAAAAGAATCCACCAAATAAACAAACCAAAAAAGAAAAACCACATGATCAACTCACTAGATGCCGAAAAAGCTTTTGACAAAATCCAACACCACTTCATGATAAAGGTCTTGGAGAGATCAGGGATAACAGGGACATACCTGAACATAATAAAAGTAATATACAGCAAACCTAATAGCCAACATCCAACTAAATGGAGAGAAACTAAATGCAATTCCAAGAAAACAGGAACAAGACATGGCTGACCACTCTGTACATATCTCTTTAATATTGTACTTGAAGTTTAGCTACAGCAATAAGACAACAAAAGGAGATCAAGGGAATACAAATTGGAAAGGAAGAAGTCAAACTTTCTCTATTTGCAGATGATATGATAGCTTACAAAAAAGACCTGAAAAACTCTACCAGGGAACTCCTACACCTGATAATCACCTTTGAAAAGTAGCAGGATATAAGATCAACTCAAAAAATCACTAGCCCAACTATGTACAGACGATAAAATGGCTGAGAAAGAAATCAGAGAAATATCACACATTACAATAGACATAAATAGCATAAAATACCTGGGGATAAGGTTAATCAAAAAAGTGAAAGAACTTTGAGTTGCTGTCTTTTGCAGGGAACATCACATTGTCCATTCTTTTGTTATTCCTCACAACCCCACGGGACAAACCACTGTGGAATGCTCGCCATGATAAAATGAAAATATCGTTCAACCATATTTTCCCTTACTCAGGTAAGGGAGGTATGTGCACTGGTGAGGATCCCCCCCATTTTTGATGCCAGTTACTCTCCCTACCCAAAACATATATTCAGCTTGATTCTAGGGAATTAGTATTAACTGTCTGAGCCCCCATGCAGCCTTTCCACAGATTCTCTGAAAAGTCTGCAATGTCCTGCAGTCTACCCAGATGTCCTTGTAATAATGTTGGCTGACATTTTTGGAATAGACATGTAGGTCACAGCTGAGAGGCTCCTAAGATTGCTTGAGGCGTTTGGGAGGGGTCTCCAGTAAAGAGCAGTGAGCAGAAGCCAGGGAGCTGTATGCCTCAGCCAACAAGTGGGGATATGAGCCCACCATTGTCTTCCAGGTTGTAGTTTCAGAGACCTCAGAAGCATGATGTGTAATGAAATCCAGTGCCTGGGTTTTCAGCTGCTCTGCATTGTGGAGGTCAGCCAGGATGAGAGTTCGGGCAGCAGTCTCCACGGAGAGGTCCTTGCAGAGGGCATCCTCACACATGACCTTCAAGCGCACCAGGCCATACTTGTCAGCAGCTGCCAGCACATCATCTGCCATGCTGTGGAGGTCTGGTGCCTCCCCGGTATAAATGAATCCCATCATTGCCTTGAAGACTTGCAGCTCCAGATCATGGATCTCAATGCGTATTTTTCTGCTCTCCTCCATGCCATGTTCAAACATGGCTCTGAAAACTGGAGAGCGAGCTGCTAAGATGGCCTTGTGAGCCCGGAATTCCTGGCCAGCTACCACCAGGCAGCAGTCTGTGAAGATGGGATTCTCCCACAGCTCTCCTAGCTCGTCTGCCATTGTGCACCTTGGAACCTGGATCCCTGGGTTCGTGCTCTCTCCAGAGACCACATTCATCTTGCACAGCAGGGTGAGTTTGTAGTCTGGGAGAAGCCAAGGCTCCAGGGTCAAGAGGAAATCTCGAGGGATAAACTTTTTGTATGCCCAGTGGTGGTTTTGCAGAAACCTGAAGAATGTTGGGCTCTTTATTGTTTGGGATTTCTCTCCTTCTGCATTGATGATCCATAGCTGGAACTTTGCCCATACTGGGTTCTTTGGGCAGCTGAGCAGCCCTAAGGAAACTGACAAGTAACCTTTGCTTTCTTCATCGACCCCGTTCAGGTGTATTTTCATACACCATTCAAGTGAGTCATTTGGACCTGATGAGAAAGTGGGACTTTTAATGTTTGCCCCATGCATTCGCTCCAAGTAAAAACGGAAATTGCTGATGGTCCACTTGTAGGAGTATTTCTGGATGCTGATCTGTGTGTAGCCCCAGCTCTCCACTGCCAATTCCTGTGACATATCTTCTTGTGGTGTTTTGAAGATTAACCTCGATCCAAAATAAAGAACTAGAGTTTTCCTTCTTTAATCTGGAGGTCACAATTAGAGATAATAGTTAACGTTTTAGTTTCTATTTTCATCTCTACTCCCTATTATTTGTGTTGAAATCTTGGGTTTCTGTGACATTTTCAATCAAGGATGTAATATAATTTTCAGAGAACACATTCTAGTCTCCTGGGGACTGCTACATAACTCCATTTTTCCATATTGAATCTTAGCCCAATAGATCAATTTTGACATTTACATACACGTTTTGAATTATTTTGAACATTTCATACACTCTAACTGGAACATTTTTAGTGCTAACGTTCTCTAGAGCAATAGTACACATGCAGTTTATCTTTCTATATGTGAGGAAAGGGGATTCATTGGAGTTAATTAGTCCTGGGGTCATGTTCATAACACACTGACTAGCTGTCAAGCAAATTCAAAATCCAGTACTTACTCAATCCAGGAGGTGGAACTGTCTGTCGGCTGGTGTTCAGTAAATGCTGCAAGTGAGAATAAGTATTCTCTAATTCCAGTGAAGTATTGGACTTCCTACAAGGTGAGGGGAGGCAATCAAAAATAAACATCTTCCTGGTTTCATGGCCTTTTGTACTCTGCCATGGGAGGGTGTGGCCCAATGAAAGGTGTGTCTCCGGAACTGGAGTTCTGGATTAAAGGTGTGTGTTTACTGGCCTCAAGATCTGGATTACATGTTTGTGTCTCTTGGGGGTCTTGTAAAAATGGATTTGCTCCATCTTGGCTTAATGTTAAAGAGTTCAAAGCTATCCTTACTCTTCCAAGGTGAAAGATGAAAGACCAGAAGTTCTAATGCTTGGCTACTGTATGATGTTCGGGCTTAGGCATGGATGTCTTATCTAAATAACAAGAGACTTGGTCTGAGGTGTGGTTAGTCTCAACTTTCAAGGCTGGTTAAACAGCGATTTAGTCTAAGGCATGGTTACCAAATGTTAGGAAGAAGCCTTGTGCCATTTTCCATGCTTTGATTAAGGAATTTAAGAATGTTAAGAATAAATTTGGGGCATTCATTATTCACTGAATTTCTATTCTTCCTGACTCTATTCTTTGTCGCTGTCTTTTCCATACTCCACTTCTCAGGTACAAACACAATACAGACTGGCCCCACCAAATGGGGCTATTCCAAATGATTAATACAGTCTTTGGACCTCCAAAGTTCATATTGCAAGTGTATCTACATACTTCAACTTAAGCAAACATTTACTCACAAGTGTACCTTTCAAATTTGAATTTTAGTTAGTATAGTCCCAGATGTAGTTAAGTTGGGAACCAAGAACAGCCATCACAAGTGTATTTTTCTTACTGTGTTTAATCTTTCATAAAACAAGGGATAGTGTCCATGTCTACACAGATTGTTTTTACACTTCTCATGGAGTTTCATGAATTCCTACCTCAAACGTGATCTGGGATGGGGTGCTTTGTTGGAACAACAAACCTTGGCCAGAGGCACAATTCCCCATCAACCTGGGAGCAGGCATCTGTAAGACAATGTTTATTAAAAAATGTTTACTGAAACAATCCGGTGTCCATAAGCAATATTTACTGAGCCGGGCGTTGGTGGCACACGCCTTTAATCCCAGCACTCGGGAGGCAGAGGCAGGCAGATCTCTGTGAGTTCGAGGCCAGGCTGGACCGACAGCCTCCAAAACAGAGAAACCCTGTTTCATAAAACCAAAAAAAAAATGTTTACCGGAGCAATAATTTTCTGATATGCCCTGGTCAGATGGAATGACTTGATTCCAGGAAGATGGCATCCACCCACTCCCCTACTAGCTAGGGTCTGAGTGGCTGTTTGCATTTTCACTCCAGTAAGAAGCCCATTTGGGTCCCCGAATGGTGCATCAGGCATGTCGACCCCGATACTACTCTCGATACTTGGAATGTTCCCCACGATCAAGATGGTCCAACCATCACTGAATACTCATGTAAGGGATGTATGTGTGCTGGTGAGAACCCCCCCCCCATTTTGATGCCAGTTAGTCATTCCAGCTCCCTGTTCATCGCTTTTTATAGCACCAATAATACATTGGGAGCGGCTGCTGCCAATGAGAGATTATAAAGTCAGAAAATAAAAATTCTGAGTGTCCCCCTCCTAAAGGGGAATCTTGTTTTATTAAAAATGTTTAATTTCTCCTGGATTAAACCTCCAGGCCTTTGCCTGACACCAAGGTCAGGAAAGAAAGGGGAACCTGAGAGACCACTCTCAGCTGGAGGGTAGATTGAGTAAATATTTTTTATCACTTTTTATTTTGATTTTAAATAGCTTGTTTTACATGTCATTCCCAGTTCCCTCTCCCTCCCCTCCTCCTGCACTCTCCATCCCCCCCAGCCTCCCACCCTATTGCCAATTCATTTCACATAGGGGATATCCAGAGTCTGTCATTTCACTCAGGATAGGGTCCAGGCACTCCCCTAAGAGTCCAGGCTGAGAGAGCATCCCTCTTTCTGCTATGGGCACACGATGGCTGTTAGTATTCCAGGGATAGACACTGACCCACTGCTCAGGGCCCCATAGGTTGCCCAGGCCTTCTTACTGACACTCACATTCAGGGAAGTCCTGATCAGTCCAATGCTGGCCTCCCTGCTGTCAGTCTCCCCTGTTTGGATCAGCTGTCTCTGCTGCTTTTGCCAGCCCATTCTTTGCCAATTTGCTCCTCGCTCCTCTCTCTCTCTGTCACTGGGGTCCTTGGGTTCAGTTCAGTGCTTAATTGTGTGTGTTTGCCTCTGCTTCCATCAGTCGCTGGATGAAGGCTCCCAGATGGTTATAGACATCAAGTTCATTATCAGGAATTGGCATGCGAGGTGGTCTCTCCACTATTGCTTAGCTTGCCATTTGGTGTTATCCCTTTAGATCACTAGAGGTCACTCTGGTGCCTGATCTGTCTTCTAACCTATGATTCCCTCTTCCCCCTATTCTACCCCCACCAACTCAAACTTCCTGTTCCCCCATGACCTACTGTCTCTTCCTCTTCTCCCCCTTTCTCCTTCCCAACTCCCACTCCCCCCACCCCTTGCCATATTTCCCATCCATACAGAGGATCTTGTCTCAATCCTCTTCTCTTGGGTACTATGCATATATGCATACCTTTTATATTATTTCCTGTTCGCAAGACTCTCTGTCAGTGGAAGTGAAGTCTGGCACTATCCTGATTCATGTCTAAAATCCATATATGAGTGAGTACATACCATGTTTGTCCTTTTGTGACTGGGTTACCTCACTCAGGATGGTTTCTTCCAGTGCCATCCTTTTGCCTGAAAATTTCAGGATTCCATTGTTTTTTTCTGCTGAGTAATACTCCATTGTGTAAATGTACCACATTTTCTCTATCCACTCTTCAGTTGAGGGGCATCTAGGTTGCTTCCAGGTTCTGGCTATTACAAATAATGCT